CTTGTGGAGAATGAAATGAGAATATTAGTTTTAGTGTGTGTGTGTGTGTGTGTGTGTGTGTCTGTGTAGGGGAGTTTACCTCTTTCTTCCCCTTTCTACTTTCCACCCTGCCCTCTTCCCCTCACCTTAAACGCAATGTCTAACTGCCTTTGTGGCTCAGCACCCTTGTCTTCCAAAGCCTGGCTGAAGAGAGGGATACAGCATCACTCTGCACTCCCCCCTTCCTTGGAATCCCAGATGGCCAGCACCCAGAGAGCTCTTATTTGAACGGCCTGACTGCTGCCTCTGCAGGGCAACAAGAGAACGGAATAGAGTTCTCAACCTCCTGGTTCTAGAGTTCCCAACCTCATTTTGACTCCCTGACAGTCCTGAGCCAATCTCCTGCATCCTCCTTTGTTTCCCCTCCTCTCAGCTGGCTCGGTAACCACGACCTGAAGGTAGAAAGCCGTTGGAAGCCCAGGAGGTGTCCCCTGAATCCGTGTGACTGTGGTCTGAGATGCTCTCCAGAAAGGATGAACCTCACAACCGCCCCATTTATTTAGGCTCCATCTTTCATCGAGGAAGGATTTTCCATTGATTTCCTGTAAAGCCATGTCGTAAATAAGGTTATAACTTAGGTCATGATCTCATTCCAGTACGCTTTTTTTTTTTTTTTTTGACAGGCAGAGTGGACAGTGAGAGAGAGAGAGACAGAGAGAAAGGTCTTCCTTTGCCGTTGGTTCACCCTCCAATGGCCGCCGAGGCCGGCGCGCCGCACTGATCCGAAGGCAGGAGCCAGGTACTTATCCTGGTCTCCCATGGGGTGCAAGGCCCAAGCACTTGGGCCATCCTCCACTGCCCTCCCGGGCCACAGCAGAGAGCTGGCCTGGAAGAGGGGCAACCGGGACAGAATCCGGCGCCCCGACCGGGACTAGAACCCGTGTGCCGCGCCGCTAGCGGAGGATTAGCCTAGTGAGCCGGGCGCCAGCCCTCAGGGTTCCAATGTGGTGGATTCAACAAGAAATGCTAGTCTGCTTCATTGTACGTTTACTGCCACGAAGCTATCTTCATGAAGAAGAAGTGCACAACAAAGCACAGTGGGACTTGAAGAAAATGCTCTTTCCCTAAATGACAGACAAAGAGGGTGAACATATCTCTGGGGTTTTAGATACAGGGGACAGCAAACTCCTTCTGTAAAGGGCCTGAGAGTGAGTCATTTAAACTTTGTTGGACACATATGGTTTCTACCACATATTCTTCAGTTTTTAAAAAAAAAAGTCTTTTAAAAAATAATAAACATGTTTTTGAATTTCAGCATTCATTGTTCCATTGAATTACTAGCATTTGTTTTATTTATTTTTAAAGATATATTTGTTTTAAAGGCTTAGTTACAAAGAGGGAGGGAGGGAGGAAGGGAGAGAGAGAGATCTTCCATCCACTGGTTCATTCCCCAAACGGCTGCAATGGCCGGGGCTGGGTCAGGCTGAAGCCAGGAGCCTGTAACTTTATCCAGGTCTCTTACATGGGTGCAGGGGCCCAAGCACTTAGGCCATCTTAGCTGCTTTTCCAGGTGCATTAGTAGGGAGCTGAATTGGAAATAGAGCAGTGGGGACTCGAACTGGTGCCCATAGGGGATGCTTGCATTGCAGGCAGTGGTTTAACCCGCTGCACCTCAATGCTGGACCCATCAAAACACTCTTCAGATATATTCAAAACCATTCTTTGCTTTAAGGCCTCACAAATAGAGGTCACCGTTCAGATTATTTTGTCTTAGACATTCATTCTGATCTCTCAAATTCATGAAAGCCTTCCCTCATCCCCTGGGCTTTCCAGAGTTCTAGTGCAGGTTGTGATGAAAAAAAGCATTTTGGGGTGAAGGAAAACTAAAATTATTTATCATCAGCAGACATGCATGAAAATCAATGTTACAGAACATTCTTTAGGTTGGAGAAAAGTGACAAGAGAAGGAAGCACAGATCTTCTGGAACCAATAAAGAACATCAGAAATTTTGAATACTTAAATCAATACAGACATCTGTATTTCCACTTTGTTGCTTTAACATGCATGTGAATGCTTATAACAGAAATTGTAAAATTACTTTTGGTGCTTATAATGTATGAAGATGAGTTACGTATGATAATGATAGCATAGAGGTTACTGGGGATTGGTAAATCCCCAATCCTGTTGTGAGGATTTTACATTCTACATGGAGTGGTAAAACGGCAACTCTAATAGATTGTGGAAAATTAGGGCCACATATTGTAATCTCTATAGTAACCACTAAAAAATAGGAAGAAGTATAGCTAAAAGGCTAATGAAAATGTCATCATGGAATTCTAAAACAAAGTGTTCAAATACTTGAAAAAGAAGGAAAAGGGAAACAGGAACAGAAAATAGAGGGGGGCAAACAATACAATTGACAGAGTGCTACCCCCAAATTCAAGCATATCAATAAATACATTAGCTGTTAATGTAGTCAGCATTCCACTTAAGACAGTTTTCCTGCATGGATACAAAAGCAAGACTCAATTTACATCCTGTCTATGAGATGCACTTTCAATGATCAGCCTTAGAAGTGCTTTTGTGTATGCCTTAGGGTGTTGTACTTAAGCAGTAATATCATCTGTGACCACGCTTTAACTTCTTTCTCTCCAAATTTTAATATTTTTTTTGCCTTATTGTACTTCTTAGACTATCTGGTGCATTGAAGAATAGAAGAGGTGAGGAATTCCTTACCTTGCTCTAGATTTTGAGAAGTGTTAGAAGTTATCTCTTAAGTATGATATTAGTTGTGTATGGCTTTTATTACATTGAGGAGTTTTCCTCTACTTTGCCGAAAGTTTTGAAAAATCAAGATTGATGTTTAATTTTGTCAAATGTGTTTTCTAACTGCACAATTTGAGATGATTATGATTTTTCACATTCATTTGATAAAGGTTGTGAATTAACTTGATGCTTTTTAACACCTTTAAAAACAGCTTTCGGCAGCTACAATTCACATGTTGTAAAATACATTCATTGAAAGTGTGTAATTGGGGTGGGTTTTGTAGTCTGGCGGGTTAAGCTGCCGCTTGGGATGCTTGCCCATATCAAAGTCTCTGGACTCTAGTCCTTCTCCCCTTCTGATCCAGCTTTCTATTGTGCACCTTGGGAGTCAACAGGTGATGACTTGGGTTGTGCCACTCACAAGGGAGACCTGAATGGAGTGCCTGGCTCCTGGCTTCAACATAGCCCTACACTGGCTGTTGTGGGCATCTGGGGAGTGAACTAGCCAGAGGACACTTTCTTTCCTCCCTCTCCCCTCTCCCTCTCCCTCTCCCTTCATTCTGCCTTTCAAATAAAAATGAATAAACATTTAAAAAAATAACTGTAGAATCCGATGGTTCTCAGTATGTTTACAGGATTGCTTAATTGTTACCATAATCAATGTTACGGTATTTTCATTACTCTAAAAGGAAACTTCATACCCACTAGCAATCAGCCCCAAATCTCAGCTTTCCAGCCACTGGCAAACAGTAATCTGCTTTCTGTCTTAAAGGATTTGACTATTTTGGAAATTTCATATAAAAGAAGTCGTAAATATATGACCTTTTGTGTATGGCTTCTTTCACTTAGCAGAGTTTGAGGCTCTTCCATGCTACCCAATGTTTCAGTAGTTAATTCTTTTGTATGATTGAATAATATACCATTATGTAGGTACACTACATTGTATCTACATATTGATCAGTTGGAGGGCATTTGTATTGTTTTTACTTTTATTATAACTAATGCTTTTAAGAATATGTGTATGTATTTTTGCATAAACATGTTTTCATTTATTTTGGATAGATGCCTAAAAGTGGAATTGCTGGGTCATATGATGTTAGAATCCTTAAACGTTTGGCCGGCGCAGTGGCAAAAAAAAAAAAAAAAAAAAAAAGAATCCTTAAACTTTTGAGGAACTGTCAGACTGTTGTTTTTTTGTTTTTTTGTTTTTTTTTTTTTTTTTTGACAGGCAGAGTGGACAGTGAGAGAGAGAGACAGAGAGAAAGGTCTTCCTTTTGCCATTGGTTCACCCTCCAATGGCCACCGCGGCCTGTGCACCACGCTGATCCGATGGCAGGAGCCAGGTACTTATCCTGGTCTCCCATGGGGTGCAGGGCCCAAGCACTTGGGCCATCCTCCACTGCACTCCCGGGCCACAGCAGAGAGCTGGCCTGGAAGAGGGGCAACCGGGACAGAATCCAGCGCCCCGACCAGGACTAGAACCTGGTGTGCCGGCGCCGCAAGGCGGAGGATTAGCCTAGTGAGCCGTGGCGCCGGCTCTGTCAGACTGTTTTATCTAAAATGATTATATCATGTGATATGCTCAACAGCAGTACATGAAGGTTCCAATTTATCCACATCATTACCAACCCTTAATCTTTTTAAAACATGGACAACCTAGAGGGCGCAAGGTGGTTTTGGCTTGCATTTCTCTAATGGCTAATGATGTTGAGTATCTTTTCACATGCTTATTGGCCACACATATATTTTCTTTGGAGGATATCTATTCAGATCCTTTGCTCATTTTTAATTGAGTTATCTTTTCATTATTGAGTTCTGAGTTTATATTCTGCATACAAGTCCTTATCGTATGCATTATTTGCAAATACCCCCCCCCCAGTTGTCCTTTCTCTTTCTTGTTGGCATAGTTTGTGAAACAACTTTTCATTTATCATTTTAGTTATGTATATATGTACTGAATGTATGAAAACCAGGTTAGTTAGCATTGTCTTCTCTTTAAACATCAAAACCTTTTTCGATTAACATTTAGTAGCTGTTAATTACAGTGTGACATTTCAGTAAATATATGCAGTGTCATTACTTTATGTTTGGAGCGTCCTTCTTTTAGTTGCTCATAAAATACACAATAGTGGCTGGCGCCGCGGCTCACTAGGCTAATCCTCCGCCTGCGGCGCCGGCACACTGGGTTCTAGTCCCGGTCGGGGCGCCGGATTCTGTCCCGGTTGCTCCTCTTCCAGTCCAGCTCTCTGCTGTGGCCCGGGAGGGCAGGATGGCCCAGGTCCTTAGGCCCTGCACCTGCATGAGAGACCAGGAGGAAGCACCTGGCTGCTGGCTTCGGATTGGCGCAGCGCGCTGGCCGTAGCGGCCACTTTGGGGGTGAACCAATGGCAAAAGGAAGACCTTTCTCTCTGTTTCTCTCTTTCACTGCCTAACTCTGCCTGTCAAAAAAAAAAAATACACAATAGTTTATTGTGAACTATAGTCACCACACTGTGCTGTGGAACACCAGAACTTATTCCTTGTGTCTCACACAAATTTTTAAAATTTTTGATGAAGTACTATTCATCTATTTCTTTCTTTGGTATTCTGTACTTTTGGTATTCCTAAGAAACCATTGCCTAAGCCAAGATCATGAAGACTACCCTTATGATAGACTGTCTTTCTCTATGTTATGATTATTTAGGATCATGAACACTTCTGGGTTCTAAAGAGTGAATATGTGCACAGTAAAATATCTGGAAGGCTTCTAGCAAAACACTAATATGGCTTACTTCTTAAGTATGTAATGTAGACTGTTGGTGGGAATGTAAACCAGTACAATCATTATGGAGATTCTGCAGAAGTCTGCCAATAGATATACCTTATGATCCAGCCATCCCAATCCTAAGAATTTATCCAAATGAAATGAAATCAGTATATGAAAGAATAATTTGTGTCCCCATGTTTACTGCAGCTCAATTCACAGTAGCTAAGATGTGGACTCAGCCCAGATGTCCATCAACTGATGACTGGATAAAGAAAATGTGGTATATATACACTATGGAATACTACTTAGCCATAAAAAGAATGAAATTCTGTCTTTTGAAACAAAATGGATGCAACTGAAAACCAGTATACTTAGTGAAATAAACTGGTCCCCAAAAGACAAATATCATATGCTTTCTCTGATATGTAGTTGCTTAATATAAAATACAAAAAAAGTATAGGAATGAAATGGACATATTGTCATTTGTTGTTTTTAGTTCTTTTTTATACTCCTATAGAACTGCAGGCTTTCTACTTTTTACTTGTTGAAAATTATGCTTAGGGATGCAATAAGGCGGTGAGTGGATTGAAATTATGTTTTTGCAAAAATTAAAGCAAAAGAGGAAAGAAGGTGTACTGAGGGAGGGAAACATAGTTATCTTCTTAGAATTGTACCTATAAAACAGATGAAATATGTTCTCTTTGTATTAATAATAATTATAAAAAGAATCAGTCATGAAACAAAATTTAGCTTCTGTTTTTTTTTAAAAGGATATAGTATAGAGCCTCACAACTATGCCTGAAATATTTTAAAACAAGTAAGGGTAGCTTTTGAAATACACATAAAACAAGAAAAAAGAGTCCCAATATTCATTTAATAAAGTTGAAAGTTATAAAACATCATTTTAAAGATTTTATTGTAGAATAAACACAGTTCTGTATACTTGCTAGAATGGTTAAATGTCCCACTATTAATAATGAAACAAAAGATTTTGGCAAATATTGAACATTTTTAAGATCGACTGTCTTTATTTGAAAGGCAGTGTTACAGAAAGCCAGAGTAAGTGAAAGAGAGAGAAGTCTTTATCTGCTGGTTCACTCCTCAAATGGCTTCAACAGCTGGAGCTGAGCCAATCCAAAGCCAGGAGCCAGGCGCTTCTTCTGGGTGCAGGGCCTCAAGGATTTGGGCCATTTTCTAACTATTTTCCCAAGCACATCAGCAGAGAGATGGATTGGAAGTGGAGCAGAGGGGGCTCAAACTGGTGCCCATATGGGATGCTGGCACTGCAGGCTGGGCTTTAAACCCTTGCGCCACAGCACTGGCCCCTCTTCTTAGGCATATTTAAGATGGGCTTGCTATAAAAGACCTGAGAAAGGTGTGAAAAAAAAGACAATTTCAAGTCACAAGAAAATCCCATATATAGATCATGTCAGTTGAAATTCATACCAAAAAAATTCCTGTAGGTAACCATAGAATCACATGTGTATACACACACAGACATACACAAATACAAAACATATAGAAGCAAAGGCAGAATCCAAGAGATTGAAGCACGTGATCAGGAGTATCCTCTCTTCCTGTTTCGTAACTACTCAGTTTATCTTTACTTTGTCAGTTGCATATATTATGCTTAAGCATTGATTATCAGTAAAATAATTTTATGAGTTTAAAAAAATAAAGAACTATCATAACTAGTTATCTGTCATCCAATGCTGAGTAATGAAATAGTGACACAAAATTCAACCTACATTTTAACCATGACATAATTGAAGAAAACAAATAGTCATGCATTCCTCTGTGGATAAATGTGTAAATAATGTCAGCTTTCATGAATGCCTGCACATCTTATTTTCAACATTTCAATACATGCACCTATTAAAATACCAATAGAGGTTCCTTTGGGGTAGGTTGAGTTGGGATACAGTATTCATGTCTTTCATTGATTTGTGTATTCTACACGATTTTTCACAATGCTTATGTATTTGAATTCAATCACAAATCTAGAACAAACATGTACAGAAGAAATTATTGGTAAAACTTGCTGGCTTGATGACACAAAACAAATCTAAGGAATCAGTAGTCTTGAGCATACACAAGAGAAGGTTTGAAGATACAATCATACTTTACAAGTCTTTCTCCATTTGAGGTGGCATCACCTGTGATTTCACCGCACTTCTTTGTAAATGAATTTGTAACTGAACATATTGTTAAGAAGCATGTTTAATTTTGAGAAATTCCAAATGTCAGAGGCTACTCTCTTAAAAATAGTATTCCAAAGGATAATGAAATGTGAAAAACGTTGTAGTTACATTCAGTACAGAAAACATATTTGAACTCAGAAGATACAAGGAATTTGAATATTATTTAAAAACTCATTAGATGCATATAATTAAGAGATGAGGGTGACATTGAAAACTATTCTTGTAGGGATTGAGTCAGTTTATTTTTAGCTTTGTGAAATTTCAAAAATTTGAACAATTGTGCACAGCAGGTATTGCTTTTTTGAATATCTTGGATACTAAGATTATAATGGAATGAAGAAATTTCAAGTTTTCCAAATACATATATGTGTGTGGAAACATGACAATTTGTGTAAGATAATGATGAAGATTTTTTTTCAAAATGACTCCATATTCTCTTGATTGTGGAAATAAAGATATACATTGCAAGGTGTCCAGTGCGTAACAAATCTTCCCAGGCAGATGAATCAATGAATTCACAAGCTTTTATTGGGATTCCGCTCCCGGGTGAGGTTCCCCGGTCCCAACAGAGCGGGGGCCGGGGAAGTTGCACGTCAGAGGTTGGGAGGGCTCCTTTTATAGATACAGGGCACGGGGGTTAAAGGTTGGGGCAGTTCTGATCCTCACTGGTTGACCTTTAGACACCTGTGGGGACCTGGACTAGGACTTTTCTTCCCCTGAAGTGCGGGTTAGGGACTCTCCATTCCCGGAAGTATAGGCCTTCCCTCCTTGCGGATCCCAAAGCTACCATACATTAGCATATATATATGTCTATACATGTACTCATGGTCAAAAATTATATCTTTAAATCATGGTGATTATTATAGTAACAATGCAATTAAACTTCCCTCTTTTCCATATATGCATGAGTTTGTATGTATATGTATATACATGTGTGTATGTACATATGCATACATATTCAAATTTTATATTTGGCTTCACCAACAGCCATAAGTCTACATTAAAATGGGATTCATCTATTTATCATGATTTGGATCATATTTTCACTTGTTTTGTTGGCAGATTTCATTATCATGAAAAAATTGCAAGATCCAATTTTTAGTAGCCAAATATGCAGGGAAATATGTGTGAAATATTGTAGATGGCTACAAAAATAGTGAATGTATTGACTTGAAGCTTTGAGAAAATGTGCATCTGGATCATGGTATAGGAGGTATGCACACATTTTGTTTATACAATAATATAATCTGTTATATTTTTAATAATAAGATTGAATGTCAGGTAAAACTGTAGGTTAAAATTTTGAGAAGGGAGAAAAAGCTGCATTCTGTGAGGTATACATGTTTGTTTATTTTAGGGAATATACTTATATACTGTATATGTGAACATAATAAAGTTTAGAAAACATAAATCTTCAAATCTTGATACCTGAGGGATGGCATCATAGGCATTAAATTTCTGCTTGTTAAAAAATTGTTTTATGAATTGAAAATGTCTTCACTATGACTCTACTAATATTTTTAGTGAATATGGCCATATGAGGGTTTTTTTGGCTAATATTTCATTTACTAAAAATTTAGGTCTTGTGGATTTTCACAATAATGACAAACTTCCCAGGAAACAAGTGAAAATATGATCCAACTGGTAACAAAGCCAAATTTTAATAGAAAATTATTTTGTATGAAGCTAAATACAGATGTTTGTGTGCATGCATCAAAATTAGTAAGTATATTAACATTCAGTTGTTATTGGTGTGTTGAAACATAATCCAAATGTTTATCAGTCTCACTGAAAAGTACCATTTATCACTGCTTTTAGTCTTCATTTTCATATAGTTCGTTTTTGACTCATTTGTATGTCTCAGTTGCTTCTGAGAAACTGATCCCTAAGTGACATGAACATACACAATAAAGTCATAGGAAGCCATTGTCAGCCTTAATAACTACATGGAAATGTCCCTGTGTTCCAGTCTTCAATGATGAAACCATTAGACTACATTAGCCTCCTCTGATGGGAATTTATACATACTTGAGTAGGTGCGTCTCTCCAAATGGGCACTGTATAGCAGCCAGTCTTGAGAACTACCTTCCTTAGAGTTCTAGACAAATAGCTGCTTCTCCCTCAACACACAGGCCTGCTATCCAGGCCAGAAAATGGTGGAACTTGGAAAGTGAGCCAGGTCAAGAATCAAATGTACTTGTTCCTAGATTTGCTCTTCTCTAAGCCCTTAGGTGCAACCATTTTCTTTCTGATCTGGATCCCTGAAATTTGCACTCTGATAGTCCAAGACAATTGGGTACTATGAGAAAATGTTGAAAAAAGTTGAGAAAAAGAACTGCAAAGGCTAGGTAAGTGGAAACTGAATTTCTGAACTGAAAAGACCCCTTGATGAGTGTGTAGTTTTAGGCCCCAGATTTCAGTTAGATACTAAAAGCAAAATCATCAGAGTGTGAACAGTTTCTTTAAACTGGGTAACAAACAAGGCAGCCATATTTCCTGGGGCTTTTGTCACTTGGTCACATTTTTTTTCACACTGGATGGGCGGGAGAAGAGGGCTGGGGGGCGGGGAGAGGGCATTGTTAGTTGCCGTTCCTAGAGCAACACTGCCATCATGAGGAAATGAGTGATTAAAAACCCCCAAGGCTTCTTCCTTTAGCGTCCTTAACTGGGAAAGCCCCATTCTGTCACAAGCTTAAGCAGGCCCGGTCCTAGTTGGCTCTCAGTTCCGCCTCCTGGGGCCTCCCTAGAGTTCTGGACGAAGATCAAAGATGGAGTCCAGGTATAGCAGCTGCCCACGCGGGAAGCACGACTACGTCTGCCGCTGCCAGGAAGTCTGGGCACAGGAAGTCATGGGGTGGAGTCTTGGCATCCTCCCAGTGTGGGCGGGACTAGAGGAATTCCACCAACTGACAAAGTCCAGGGTCTGTGGCTATTTGTCTTGCTCCCTGCCCCTCAGAACCTGGGGAAAGCTGACACGTGGTGTTCCCAAGCTCTAGGGACTTGAAATGCAGAGAACAAGACAATACCAGGTAGTTTGTAGCAGGGCTCCATGTGCTCTGCATGCTGAAGGTCTCAGGTGCACCCAAGCTGTTTGGAGCTTGGAGGGCCTTGAAAAGAAGTGGAACCACCCAGCTAAGCTAAGAAGTGTTAGCTTTTCTGCTAGGAGAGCAGACCGCGCCCAAACAGATGGAGACCAAAAACAAAAGGAGAAGACTGAAGATGAACCTACCTTTTAAAAGTCCTTGTCTGCTGGAAGTGGCATTTCCTGCGACTCTGCTTCACTTCTTCGTACATGGCTGTTGTAGCAGGTACATTGTTTCTAAAAAATGAGAAAAACAGATGGCAAAATGGTAAAATGTGTCAGTATTCCAAAGAATATTTAATGATACTTGAAAAATGTTCAAGCTGCAAATGAGGAAAGCTGGTTTTAATGTTCAAGTACAAGGGGATTTGAATGTTATTTTTATTTAAGTGCATGTTAAACCTGCAGAGATACAAGAATGCACAGCAAGGACATTGTTAAAGTGGCCATTTGTTCTTACACTGACGTAGTACCATTTATTTTCTAGTTTATAAGTGCTTTGCCAGCAGCAGGTATAACTTTTATGATTTCTTAGAATAGAAATGCCTTCTAGAGCAAAATACAGAAAAATTCCAAGCATTCACGAATGCATATTGATATGCAAGTGTGCAAATGATTTAAGGTACTGCTGAAGACTTTGTCCATGCAATCATGTTTAAAAATAAACATATATACAAAGAGGCTTCACAAAGTTCATGCAAAATTGAATTAAAAGAAAAGTTGGTTTTTTGTGCAAAAGCATGTTGAAATCCCAGCATATTTTTTCATGCTATGAATTGTTCATGAACTTTATAAAAACTTCTTATGTTCATGGATTACAGATTTTTTTGCATGAAAATACAGTATTTTTAAAATTTGTATTCATGAACTTTTTGCAGCACTCTTGTGTGTGTGTAATATATATATATATATAAAAAGAGAGATGAGTAAGCATTTTTAAAATTTGCACATTTATAATCATGGCAAGTATTATAGTGAGTATTCATTTTAACTGGAAATTATCAATTGATATATTTATTTCTGTATTTGTGTTTATATATAGATATTAGCAAAAATTATAGCTACATGGAAAGTGTTGTGTGTTTTCTTAGGATATACATCTGGATGAGAGATATCAATTATAACTTTTATTTAAATTTTTTAGAAAATATAAAACAAATTTGGTATAAATTTTGAAAAGTATAAAAAGGGAGAAATCCTAATAAGCATAAAATATAGTGCTTGTTTTAATGTAAGTTTTAGAGATACATGTCACTGTAGTAATGATTAGATAAGGCAGGCCTCAAATTAAGATGCTTAAGTTGTGGCATTACGGCTATATTATGTCCTGTGCATACATTTTTACAAAATTAAATGAGAACCTAGTATTTTTTATTGAGCAGGTCAATCAAGAAGCTCTTCGCAAATGTTTTATTGTCTGAAATCCACATGTTGCACATGTTTCATGATAATTCAATCTATCCATGAATCAGAAATGAAAATTTGGAATCTGGAACATAATGCATATACAAATCCAATTTAAGTACTAATTTATTGTCCTGTGTTACCATAAAATAGAATTATGTGTGTCTATTGAAAGAATGGCGATAAATATGCAAAAGGTTAATAGTGCTTAATTCAATATTTTATGACAGTGCTTTTTATTTTTAAACAGTGAGTGATTATTTTCTAAATTCTTTGGAAGCACACTGTCTTATGTAAAAATCACTCTTAAAATTGATTTCTGAAACTTAATTGGCAAACATATACCTGACAGAGTCATAGGAAATTAAAAGTAATATAATATCATACATGTGAACATACTTGTGTTCCAATGATGAAACCATGAGTCCAAATATGTCCCTTTTAAGTGGAATTGATGGAAATTTGAGTATATGTGTCACTTGAAGAGGGATGGTATTTGTAATTCAGACTTCAGAACTATCTGTCCAGCCATGGCTGCTCTCAACTCAACACACAAAGCCTAGTGCTCAGCTCAGAAAATGGAGGACTCAGGAAACTTGGCAGTGTGAAAAGTCACATGCTCTAGGCCCTTATTTGCATCTGTTTATTTACTTATGCTCAGCCCTGGATCACTAAGAATTGGCCAATGGAAGCAAATAATATTGGGAAAATATTGGGGATCAAGGCTGAATTGAAGAATAGCTACGCCTAGGTAGAGTAGAAATGGAATTCTTATAAACAAGGCATTTCTGATGAAACTGGGTGGTATAGGCCTTAATTTTATTACAGAGGGAAATTAGGAGTAAAAAGTGATTAAGAATGAGCTGATTTCCCCCAAACAGGGTGTTGCAAGGCGGCTTTGTTTGCTGGCTCCTTTGTCTCTTGGTGGATGTTTTTCTCACTGAAAGGGCCGGAGTAGGAGTAGAAGACCTTAGTGGGCAGGGCTAATCACCTTTCCCAGAGCAGTACTGCCATCAACAGGAAGTGGTTTGACAAAACCTCAAGTTAATGAGAACTTTCCTGAGGCCTAGCAGTTGAGAAAGGTTGGGCATTTTGTGAATATGAGTGGACTTCAGCCTTGAGCAGACATCTTTCCTTTTAAATCTGTAGTCTTCTATAAGCTCTGGGCGAAGTCAGAATCCTGGGGGGAAAAAGCTGTTAAGTAGGGGTTGGGGGAGGGGGGATAGGAATGAGTTTGCAGCCGCCAGGCAGGGCAAGTGCAAGTAGTTGGGATCAGACACTCACCCAGTGAGGACAAGACTAAAACAAATCAGAGGTCCTATTTGTGGGGCCTGTGGGTGTTTGTCTCCAGGCCCTGCCCCTGAGACATTAAAGCAGTTGGACTAGCACAAGGTATCAGTAGTATTAGAATGAGGGGTTAGGGGGTGGATCTCATTCCCTGTGACTTCTTAGCAGCTGGTGTGCTTCCTGGTGCTCTCAGGGACACCCAGAAGTCTGGCTTCCGCATTTCCTGGAGCGAGGAAGGCCTGATGAGGAGGAGTATGTGCCACTGTGCCAAGCCAATACAAAGTAAAACATTGAAAGGAGTGCAGACACCCACAAGCAGAAGTCCTGGAGGTATTTTCTGAGCCCAGGAAGTAATAGCTACAGTGGCTTTGCAGGCATTTATTTCTAGGGCCAAGTGTGGAGGCCTACCCTTTTAGAGGGACTTGTTTCTACCTCAGCTTGCATAAAGGAACAGAAGTGAATTCTTTGGCTATTGACCTTTCTTTCCCTAAGGAAGTTGGGCCCCCTGAGGCTTCGGATCTAACTGTTTATTCATATTAGCAGCTATTGTTCTCTGTGTCTGCTGGTTAGCTTTTTTCTGATGAAGGGTCCTTGTAGGCCTGACAAGGTCTCCGCCTTTGAGAAGCTGAGCACATCAAAACCCTGGAACACTTACCCACAGCATAGCAAGAAATACCTAAAATTTTTAGCTCTTCCTGAGGATGTTCTTGGTTGAAGTCAACCAAGGAAGGTATGGAGACTTTGGAGAAGGCAGGTCTCATTACTGTCAGGTACCCTGTGAAGCTGTAAGGTGATCACTTACCTCTTCAGCTAAACAAGTGCAACAGAGAAATTTGCATTAGAAGAGATAAGCTTTCTGCATTGGAGTAATAGTTTCACTTGACCAAATGCTAGACTAGGGCAGCCAGATGTGTAGAGAATTGTGGGTGACAAAGAAGCAGCCCTAGCTCTGGGATTCTAACTAGAGAAAATATGTGTTGATAGGGGAAACCATATATACATATGTATATAATATGTAGCATATATTATGTACCTACAGTATTTATAATGGAGGCAATAAGAAATATGTCTCATAATGATTTACTCACCGAAAATGAGGACCTCAAGATTTTCTGTAATATTCTCAAACTTCTCGGGAATTAGGAGTGAAAATTTTTTATGTAAACCATAATACATAAATATCCAATATTCTTATAAATTTATCATGAATGTAAATGTTTATATGTATATTTATATATAAATGTAAATATAAAAATATCTCTGTATCATAAGGACTGGGAGGAAATTATCCAAAAGATTATCAATGGTCTTCACAGGTTTTGTGATAATGCTTTACTCTTTATCAATGCATAGTTACAGCTGAATCTTTGGCAAGCACCATGTCTTAGTTACTATGAGGAAATGTTTTTAATACTTACCTCTAAGAGATAAATGGTAACACACACACACACACGCAATAAAGTCGTAGTGTTATAGGCAGGCAGATAGGATAAAATTGATCAGGTTTGTGAGCTGGAAGACCACGCCTTCACCATGCCCCTGTGTGACCTCTTGCCCCTACCTTGCCACACTTGTGTGCCCACCACCCAATCAGACTAATGCCCGAGACATTAAACAGTTGGACTAGCACAAGGTATCAGCAGTATTAGAATGAGGGCTTAGGGGGTGGTCCCTGAGTTGTAATCCCTTTTGGAAGGGGATTACAGCCTGGGACATGGTGGGCCCAGCCCTTCTTTGGCCTTTTTGTCTTTTTTCCCTTTTGTCCTGGACCCACTTGGGGTCCCCGCACGCGTGGCCTTCAGGGTGCGTGGCCTTTGGGCCACCCACCCCATGTTTCCTGGCCTGCATGCTCCTCCACATGGCTGGCTCCTGGTACTTGGTAGGAATCCAGATTTCCCTCTCTTTAGATAGGGCCCTCATTCTCCTATGCATTTTTCTCACTGATAAAAGCTTAAAACTTATCATGCTGCCTCATTTATTTGTGCCAGTATTCAGAATTCTTCTCTGAATATTAGGGAAGAACCCACAAGACTTATTAATATTGTGAATTCATTAATAAGCACAGGGTAATATAAATGGCACCCCATATTCTGATATCATACCGCACCCCAGATGGGACTTCCAAGGGGTCTGCCTCCGAAAACAGTAGGAAGCCATTTAATGACATAGGAAAATGCTTGTGATGGTAAATGAAATTGTGAGACAAAACTTTTAAGTGACCCCTGATTGGGACATATATCTCCTGTTATTGTGGGGCACCATCTGAGAGCTATTTGGGTTCCCTCCTTAAAGCCCCAGTCAAATGGATGCTGACAACACAAAAGGCCTAGGTCTTTATCCAGAAGATAAGCCTTAGAGATAAGCTGGGCAATGACACATGAATTGAAAATTAGAAATGTCCTGAAATTGAGTTTCTAGCATTTTCTGTCCAGGGATGTGTTCTGGAGACTTGCTACCAGAAACAGATGACTTGATAACTTAGGAACATCCTGGAGATGTAATGCTAAGTGAACAGGAATAGAACTATGAAGGCAA